TCCACATAATTAAATACAGTGAAGACTAAAATATATATGGTGGGGCATGATTTAAAAAGTTTAAGCTGATCTTCATGAAAAAGATAACCTTTCACCATGGTGGCCAAAGGCAGAGCTTAGACCCTGCTGTTCCAACCCTGCTCTTCCCCTCAAACCATCTCTGCATGAATTCTCTTTAAACACTAAATTTTAATCAACTGATTTTTACAGCCTCCTTTCCTTGCCCTCAATGCAAAAATGGCTGCCTACTTCCTCATTGACTAAAACGGCTCCACGGAACTGACGTTTTCAGAACTCAACACTCTGTATCTCCTTTGGCAGCTCCATCCCTCCTTCTGTCCTAGCAATGGCAAACCAAGCACCTCACAGAGTATGACATCACCTCGTCATAGTCATACAAAAATGATGACTTTTATAAAATGGTTCTCACAAGCTTCCTAGAGAAAGAGATCACTCCACTTCTCTACATGGTCCGCAACTAGAACTTGCATACTTCTGGTCCCCATGATATGCCCCACTATCTCGTGCCTCTAGATCATCACACACACCTAATCTCTGCAGGAGTACACATCCTGCCTCTCTACCGTCAGATTTTCACTTAGATGTCACAGAGACCAAAAAGTCCTCACTAACTCACCCTCAATACCAAGTCCAGTTCAGGTGCTCTCATAGAACCAAAACTTTACTCTGTCTTAGCATTTATCACATTGTATTATAACTTCCCATCAGATTCTAAGATACATGAAGACATTGGCGATGTCTCTCTGGATCAGTGCCAAATACTCAAGAGCCAGGCCATTGACTGGTGCACAGTAGGATTGCAAATGAATCTCCTAGAATGAATGAATAGATTCTTTCCCAATCAAAAATATATTGTGAGATCATTTTCTCCTGAAGATTGTGTCAGGCTGTTTTTTAAGGACGTTTACAACCTGGGGCAGAGGCTTCTGCAAAGAAGCAATCTTTCATCTCATTTCATATCCCACGCATTGCCTCAGCAAAAATGCCAGTGCTTAAAAACAATGGCCCAAAGATATTTTCAAGTTTGCATTTTTATCATTTTATTTGGGATAGAAATAACAGAAATAAAACATCGGCAACCACAGTGAAATTAATTGGGTATGAAAGACAGTCTCCAGGACGTTTCCTTTCTAGGTGTTTGCTCCTATATTAAGAGTTGTTAAAATCCAAGCTATGGCTACACTAAAAATTTGTGAACATTTTAGAAAGTGATTAAGCTCCATCAAAGATATTTGGAATTTACCAAAAATAATTATGAGTGGGATTAAATGTATTCTCTATCATCCCACTAGAGATATATTTTCCTCTAGGTCAGTCTTAGAAACAGCATTATATTTCTTTCATTTCACTCCTCCTTCAAATTTTTAAAATATACTTCAAACAAAAAGCTGAAATGTGTTAAGGATTCACTTCACTAATTAACCAACCTTAATTTAAAAAGAATTTTTTAGTATTAAAAAACAAAATGTTTGCAGAAATACTCAAACAATAGATTGGAGTATTAAAATCCAGAAAAGGATCATGGTTACATATTTGGAAATAATTCTTCCCATTCCTGAATTTATTCAACATTTATTGAGGGCTATCTTATGTCACATTCTGTACTAAACACCTGATGACAGAGAAATGGACAAACTTGCACATGCCCTGAAGAAGCTCACCATCTATTGGAGAAGTGGACAAATGCAGCTTATTGCAATAAAAAGCTTTGGGAGTGATGTCAAAGTATGCCCAGGGGCTGTGGAAGTACATGGCAGAGATAGTAACCTCCAAACAGTAACCTTGAAACAAGTTGCTTTTCTTTAAGGCAATGAAAGCTGCTCCCTCACTGACATTAAGTGAAAGAGGTATGTAGATATTAAATGTGGATTCAATGTTTCATGTGACAGTTGTAGAGAAAAACATAAAGATAGATGAAATTCAACCTTAAGTTCAGAAATTTAGCAGTGATAAGTGTGTTGGATTTATACTCAGAAGGAGTTAAATTTTTTGGTGACCATAATGGGGATAATGCAGTAGAAATCTCATCCTTGAAAATGCAAAAGACTTTCATAGAGAGCAAAGTAGCCTTAAGTAGCTTTAAGTTGAATCATGGCTCTGTCACTGACTACCTACGTGTCTTTTATACAAATCAAGTACACTCTCTAAACCCCAATTTCTTCATGTGCAAAACAGACCATAACTAGCTTACACATGGGGCTCTTATGATCGTTAAATAAGATAATGTTGACATATCTTCGTGATGGGCCATCATAAAGGACTCAGATGTGATGGTAATGACCTAATTGTAAATCAAGCCAGGGATTCATTGTAGGATGCTTAGTCCTTGGCAGGGAGTGGGAGGATGTTGGCAAGTATGAAGCAGTAACCTGACGTCAGAGAACCTGGAGTACTAGGCAGGGGACGAAGGCAAGGATATGAGTGATGATGATGACGATAAAGATGATAATTACTATAGCTCCTTCCAAAGCTCAGAATATTTATCACTGAATTAAGCCTTTGATTTCCTAGTACCAATTAGAGTCTGCTTAGGAAAAATCAGACTTCAGCTAACATCTCAACTGAGTAGATCCTCCTTATCTCTGAAAGAAATCAGAATCTCTGGAATGTTCCACCTAGTATTGCATGAACCAATGTGAAAATCACACCTTCCCACTGAACAACTTCTCTACCCCCAGGGAGCAAAATACGAAGTGTAACTAATCCTACATGCACTGAGTTAGAAGAGAAGTTCAGGGAACAGTGAGTGAGGCACACAGGAGGGCTTGGGGCACATTCTTGGAGGGCAGAGAGAGCTTCAAGCACGTGATAAAATGGCCCTGGGAGCAGAGGAAACCAGTAACTGGAGAGTAGGTGGATTGCTCAGATGTGCCACTGCAAGGAAGTAATGGGGTCATTTAAAAAGACATAGTAGTGGCTCAAAGATAGATGAGAAGTCTTAAAGCACATGATATTTGGAAAGCCAAGGAAGGAGGCAATTACTATAGATAGCAAGAGGTTAGCATCATTCCCACAATGCGGAAGTCATGGGGAGTTCCTAGTTGGGGTGGAAGAGATGTGATTAAGCATAAAACAGAGCTCTAGGATCAGAAGACTAGGAGAGCTAAGGAAAAAAGGGAAGTATTCTAGCACAGGAGACCAAGACGCATTCTATTACCAGAATCAAGTAGAAGGTTGGGAGCTGAATTTATAGTAAATACTAATGACAGAGTAGGTGTCTAGATGTGGCATCTTTATTTCTATACTAAACAACATTAAAAAGCTCTCTCTAAAAACAGGATCCCCTTCGATGCCAGAACAAGATAGAGACTGCTGGTGGGGACTTCAGTGAAACAGCTGGGAGGTTAAGAGGGATGAGAGAGGAAGAATCAGTTCCTTATGTTTTGGGTGGTTTTCAAGCTCAGAACATTTAGAAAGTCTAGGCTGAGGAAACAGATTTCCCAAACTCTGTGAGAGACTAAAGATAACTGAAAACTTATTTTAAAATGTGTAAAGTGTTGCTTTGAAGAGAAGCAATCACTTATTATGTCCCCAAGCCAAAGATAATCACTGCTACAATTTTAACACACCGTTCATATAGCTGAAATATTATGGTCTGTTTATATTGTCATAATCAAAGTGTAATATTTCCATAATGCTTTAATGTTTCAAAGTCCTTATTACATTTGTTATTTCAGTTTATTTTCTCAGTATCTTTATTATGATCAGGAGTATTTTCAGATGTAGAAACAAAAGTATAGATGAATGACTTCATCATGGCCTTAAAGCCACTTATAGAGTCAAAGCTGGATGATAGAAGTGAGTTCAAGTCAATCCCCAGCATCCTACCGAGCACAGAGATGAGTGAGAGAAGAATTGGCTAGGTTATGCTCATTGATAATCTTGTCCCTGGACAATCTTGGGTATTAATTTCATCCTACCTATTGTCCCGCCTCCTGTACATTGCTTGTACTTAGGAGTAGGGTCAGCTCTGCGTAAAATTCCAGAGTTTGTTTTCCCTGTCCTCCATCTCCCTTTACCCTGAAGGAAAGCTGTGCGTTGGGAAGGGCAAAAGCTTTGGATTCAGGTGACAATCTCAGCTCTAAGACTCTACAACTGCCACCACCGTACTTAGCAGCATCCATATATCAGTTTTCTAATTTGAAAAATGGAGGATACAATACCTATTTTGGAGGATTTTAACTTGTTTAAATGTGATAACATATGTAAAACACCTAGTATAGAGTCTGACATGCAGTAGACGTTCAATAACCATTGGCTTTTTAGCTTAAGATGCTATATCCTTTTCAAACTATGTCAACACATTTGATTTAGTGGAGCAATATCGGCTCAATTTTACAGACAAGCTTTTAGAAAGATTAAGATCATTTATCAAGGCCACACACAAGGTGAGTAAAGATGAGATTAGACTCTAGGTCTCCTAATGCTGTCACAGACACTTTTGGTGCCCTGTGTCACATACTCTTAACCTGACTCTGATTTCAGCCATGGCTATGATGGATGGTTCCTGATTGCAAAGAACATATCACTTCAGGCATCCACTGTCCCCTGCTGTCTCTCCTCTTCTCTGCCGCGAGGTTCTCTCTGAAGCCCCCAGGAGTTTCCAGGCAGGAGAATTCTGGAAGTGCAGGGCCCTTAAAGCCCCTAAGGGCACCTTCAACAAAAGGAGATGGCAGCCAGTGGGTAAATGCCCCATCCTCTCTTCCTCTGGACAGATAAGCCTGAGTGTAGTTGCCCACAATGAGAGCCATCTCAGTAATACACCTATTTGGGCTCTTCCTCCTACGGTGCACTCTCCTCTGTACACTTCATCCTGCTTCCTAGGATCATTTCCCAAATAAACTGGCTGCGCTTAAGTCCATGTCTCCGACTACCTCTTGGGAACTAAAGATTGGAAGGTGCTAGGGAGGGAAGTGTTTTGATTTCATTGTTCTGTTTTTATCTGTGTCTGCACTGCATTTCTCTCTATTTCTCCACAGGTCACCAAGATGCTGGCAGTGGTTGTAGTTCTGTTTGCCCTTTTATGGATGCCCTACAGAACTCTTGTGGTTGTCAACTCATTTCTCTCCAGCCCTTTCCAAGAAAATTGGTTCTTGCTCTTTTGCAGAATTTGCATTTATCTCAACAGTGCCATCAACCCAGTGATTTACAATCTCATGTCCCAGAAATTCCGTGCAGCCTTCAGAAAACTCTGCAATTGCAAGCAGAAGCCGACAGAGAAACCCGCTAACTACAGTGTGGCCCTGAATTACAGCGTCATCAAAGAGTCCGATCACTTCAGCACAGAGCTCGATGATATCACTGTCACTGACACTTATTTGTCTGCCGCGAAAGTGTCTTTTAATGACACCTGCTTGGCTTCTGAAATAACCTTTAGCCAAAGCTGATTCATGAATTAGAAGAAAATGGACCACAGAGTAAATGAGAATCTGTGCGGTGATCAACCCAAGAGAGGAAACAGCCAAGATTCGTATGTGACGACAGAGCCCATAAAGTCTTCACCAATGCTCCAACAAATCCTTGCCCAAAATACCTTAACCCATGAGAATGACTCAAATTTCCCTTCTACTATCACAAAAATGGAGCAGATCTGTGAACTAGCCAAACAGTGGAAACTGAAAATGTAGCCCTTTCCATTAAATTTGAGAAATTCACCATATTTTCTGGGGCTTTGAAGTTTAGATGAAATGAGACATCAATTACATTGTTCATAATAACTTTATCAAATGTGATTTCTCAACCCTTCCCTCCAAAATTATTTATACATTTGATAATTTTGCACTTTGCAAATGTTTAAATGTTTGCATTTAGTATTTCATTTTAACAAAGTTATAGTGCTGTTTCATGAACATCTGAAACCAGAGGGAAAAATAGAAAAAACATTTCATTTATTGAGTAAAATGAGATTTCAAACAAATATGTTCACTGTATTAAAAACAAACAAAGGCATCACAATGCTTATAAAATTCTAAGGTGACTTTTATATCTTACAAAATAGATGATCACTATTCAATTTTAATGTAAAATAAACCTCAAAATAGTCAAAATTATAAATTGTAAAGACATAGATTTGATTTTTACATAAAGCTGGCTCTTGTCAACGCTTTGAACCTCCTTAATGATGGGTGAGGCGGGAGAAATATCCAGATTAAATAACTGTGAAGATACAAACTAACATATAATTAATACTGAAAAGTATAGCCAAGACAAGACCAAGTATTAAAATGAGATTTTACTTTTTCTCTGAAACTTTTAAAGAAGAAAATCTTTTTTGAGCACTCTTGTGTATAAACTACTGAGCCATGTCAAGCGAATCCTTCTAGCTGAATCTAGCTTAAAAGTCTGAATGTCTCAAAAGCTTAGTTACTGTTGTAAGGCAGCCAAAGCCTGACTATTACACTTTCAGATGAAGACTCCCCACTGAGCATTGTAGTCTACGGATTTTCACTTGTCTACAATTGTCTTTCCTCCTTGCCTGCTTGTCATTTGTAGGCTCTCATTTTTTTTTCAAATGCTAGTGATATTTTCGTTTACAGATTCTAAATCAAAGCAAAGCAAAATTCCTTTGGCTTTATTTTCAATAGAGCTAAAACTGATTTCATCTCGCTATCAATGTCTCTTTATAGTTATGACTTAGACCTGCTGTAAAATCTATTTCAGTGATTACTAAAGAGGTATGAATGTGAGTCTGCCCAGGACTAATGTCAGGTCCTTTGTCAATCCCTTTCAAATGACTCATCTCCTGAGATTTGACCAGTCAGTATCTCCAAGTGTATAAATTGCCCTTGGTGATGGCTCAGTATTAGCTGACTTTTAATGAAAGAGTCAAAAAGTACTGGATACCTTTAGGGGTCCCATAGACTGGCATTTTCCCTCGCCAGCCTATATTCCTATTTTGTGGATTTTTCTGAAACTTTTGCTAATGGTAATTACCCCTCCTCACCTCCTTTATGAAGAATGTATCATTCTATTTTGAAAACTCCAGTCTTAAAATGCTGTTTCATGGAGACTTTACCATCTAGAACCTCAGACCAGAATATGCTTTTGTGAAAACTGGCATCGTCTACTCCAGGAAGACATTCTTATCCTGTCTCTGTATCAGTAAACAAATGTAAGCAAATATTTATAGGAAATATCCTAAAAGTCTATCTGCATGACACTAGGAAATCTATTTTAACTGACTTTTCATCCTGGATTAAATATTAATGTTACAATCATATAGATAGAGCATCAGATTGATCTAATCCCAAATCACACAAGCACATGTGCAAGTGCATACAAACACGTACCCACATGTGCACAAATTGCTTAATGAAGGGGACTGGAATATATTGGATGTTTTCATTAGGAAAAAGAACCCGTATCATTGAACATCTACCATGTCTCAGGCACGCTGGTAGGTACTTAATCAACACTGTCTTCCTCATAGTCTTATTATAGCTGGAGTTCTCTGAAGATAAGACCAGGAATCAGGGATCAATGCAGCTTCCCTAAATTGTGTAGATGCTGGAGAGAGAAAATATGTCTTTCTTTTGTCTTTTTCTTTTTTTTAAGCCAGTATGCTGATGACCTGGGACCTTTTTTTTAAGCCAACATGCTGGTGACATCTTGTGACATGATGGCCTAAATAATTAAAAATATATATAGATTGCAGAGTGGTAATATCAGATATAGAAAAAAATTACAATCAGTTTTACGTGTTTTACACAGAACATAATACACTCTTCCCACCTTTGGAAATTTAATATATGGGCTCAGTTTTTCCATTTTAATTTTTAAAAGTTATTTGCTAAGAATCTGTTAGTTTTAGACCACAAGGGAAATTCAGAAGAGCACAGTTCATAGTGTTTCAACTCTAAAGCAAATGCCGTTATGAAATTAAATGTTCTCATTCAATGTCCAGTAGATATTTGGGTTCACACAGAAGAGACATAAAGTATTCTTTATCACACTGTACTAACTCATAAAATATTTCCACAAATAATCAAAACTTAATATACTATCAAATGAAAGATAAAGAACTAGATTAAAAATTGCTGATGGAGTGAAGTAATATTACTAAGGGCCTCCCTTAATAAAATTTATCGAGTTATTTTATTACTTCCGTTTTCATTAATTGCTGAGTGTCTTTGGTTAGATCTTGCACCTGAGGTAATTAGGTAAAGGGCACAGATTATGAGTAAAACAAGCAAACATTAATTCCCTCTTAAGACTTCTCCATCAGCATTGTGAGTTTATTTCTAGAGCTTTACTCTAACACAGGTATTCTAAATGCTAAAGAGAAATGGGAAAAGTCCAAATTATATTCATTCTTAAACAGGTTAGATGTACAGAACAATATGCTTTGATAATATTTCAAAACAAATGGCTGGTTTGAGCTAAATAATGTGTAAAGTCAAAGGAAAACTATAGCCATAAAACTTAGGTTAGCATAACTAGGTCTTTGGTGGATACCTGAATTGTTTCATTGTCAGAAGAATGTGTTGGAATTATAAGGACAATATATGTTGATAAAGCTGGGTCCACACGGTTTTGGTCTTCTCTTAAAGAATAAAAGAGTGACCTCATTCTAAACTATGTTAAATCTGTAAACATTATGGAAGAGAGAAAATATTAACCTTTTTTGGAGGAAAGGGAGATTTTAAGTAATTCACCATGATTCTATGAATTCTACAGATATTCTATTCAATATTATTTTTGCCTCTCAACTGCAACTCACAAAAGGATTGGAATATTTGTGTGTGGAATAAGGAGATTAGATGTAAATGAGAGAGCATCCAGAAAAAACTAGTCAGTCCCAGGTTCAAAAACAATTTTTTTCAAAAGTTTGGAATCACTTGTTCCCCTTGGACTAAGCAGAGGATGAAAATCTCCAGCAATTTGTTTTCTGTTTATCTTTAGCTGTCTCCAGGAACTAACCATCAAAACCAAGATTTGGCTGAGCAAATATAACTTTTTAGAGCTATACACACGAAGAAGTTCTACAGAGCTCTGTAGTGACAAATATATTTTTTGCTCCTTCACCTCCTCTGCTATTGAACTCTTATCCCTCCACAAACATTTCCTGCCTCAGAGCGGGCAGTTTCATCTGACTACAATAAAGACTTAACCCGGACAGGAAATATCTTAAGCAAAAGTATAAACATTCTTCCAAATATGTGTATTTATAAGAAAATGTCTTGTTCTGAACATTTTCATGCTTTCATAAAATCATGTTTAAATTATGGAAAAATGGATGCTTCTATAATTTCTGTTTAACTTTTGTCCCCAGTTTCATGGTGGGAGTCTTGTCTAGAGCAGAGCTGCTCAATACAGCTTTTTTCCCCACAGAATAAAGAAGAGGTTTGGGATTTCAGAGGCTTCAGTGAGAAATCAATAAAAGAACACTCCATATGTGAAAAACCACTGCAGAAAACGGAGGTTCTCCCCATTCTTAAGGAGCTCACAGTCCAATGAAGAAAAGCAAGACAATATGGTATCATCTCAAGACATAACTGTTTGGCAATATTTAGAATACAAATTAGACATGTGAGAAATGTTTCAAAGAAGCCATTGTTAAAAGTCTATTTGGAAATGCCTTAAGATGGCTTTTAATATAAAGATCATTTGCAGTTTGTGATTCTATTTTATGAACTATAATAAGAAATATCAATTAGTTTAATTCTGACCTTCATTGATTACACAGGGAGAAAAGAATGGTCAAATAGGATCCTGTAATATTTTTGTTTATATGTTTGGTCTATAAGTATAGTCTCAAATCACTCAGCAGAAAATCTCATTTACAAGAGTTGCCCATTGGAGAATAGTTTTGTTACTGAGATGATTAACGCCAAATGTACTATGGTGATATAAACTAGATATATGTGGTTCTAATTTTAATAGTCAAATAATTTCATTTGAACAGAATGGCCATGAACGTTTGTATACATTGTCAGGCCTGTTTCCATTTTTCTACACCAAGCACATTCGTGGTAAATCCAATATGAGGTGATTGATTTATGCTTTAGAAATTACATCTAGAAAAATAAAGGCGCTGGATTAAATAGTACAGCTGGGACAGCAGATTGTCAGAATTGTCAAATGTGGATCCAGCAAGAACAAAAGACAGTTTTATGGCCAATAAACAGCAAATCCACATAATGACTGCCTGTATGTCCTCACAGAGAAGCAGCATCTGGGTCAAGTCCTTACTACAAGCTCTCAACTGGAGTGTTGGAAATGAAAGCACTTTGAAAATTATAAAAGTTAAAAAGGATGGGATAAACAATGGAGTTGGCTAGAGCTCCTACAACTTCTTTGAGCCCTGAAGCAACAATCATGAGTGATTATTGCATTCCTCACAAAATAACGGACTTAATTTTTTTACATTTGGCTTTCTCTGGCTTGTAAAAAAGAGAGAGTATGAACTTTCTCAAGAAGGTTATAGACTGATATTGATAAAGATGGAGACTTTCCAGAAAAGAAAAACAAGTACAACATAGCAGTAGAATAAGACTCCACCTAACCTAACTCAGAAGTCAATAAGAACATTCTCTGTATTCCTAAAATGGCACAAAATGCCTCAGTCAGGAGGCTAAATGTCTACTCCCTAGCCAGGAACAATAAACCACTCCCACTTTGGTATGCATAAGAATTATCTGGGAGCTAATCTTAAAATGCACTTTATTTGGCCCCGCCCCAAGAGATTCTCATTTATTAGGTAATTTTAATGCCTGTAGTCCTCTGACCACACCTTGAAAACTACTGAGTACTGGTCCCCTATGTGGAACCTTCAAGTCTCTTATTTGTTGCATAATTTTTAAAAAACAAACTACACGGAAAACTCCTTGAGGGTAAGACTATTTCATCTTTGTATACCACAAATTATCTGAACTTGGATGATGTCCCTAAATATCTGTTATATGAATGAATAAATCAACAAATCCTAAAGTAAGGAATACATTTTGAAATCTTCTGATAGTGCCCAATTTGCCTGTAGATATGTCCTCACAATAAGTTAACTACTTTTATTTGCTTTTTTATCTTTTAAACAGTTCTCCTGGCTCAGAGAAAGGCACTGCATTAAGTATCTAGATCACAGTCAGAACAATCCCTTATGTATGCATAATGCTTGACAATTTCAATTGCACTTTCACATCCTAATTTAATAATCCACTTAATTTAATAATGAGAAATAAAGAAGACTAATACATTGTCGATCAGCCCTCAAGGAGATTACAATTTAGTGACAACATACTAACACGGAAACATATAAGAAATACAACATACATAATTGGAAGCCAAATAGTGTGATTTCAGACTACAAACTGAGCTTTTCAGAAGAAAATTGGAGTCAGTACGACCTGGAGTCAATAAGGAGGACTTTGTAGACAAGATAGGACTTCTTTCATGGATAGCTTTGATTCAGATAGTTAAAGGAAAGACGATCCATGTAGGAAAAATAAGACAAGTGAGGGCAAGGAGACACAAATAAACCTTAGGGCAAGGCTCTGGGCATTAAAGACATGTGCCCAATCAAGTCCACTTCACGAGGGGTTGATTGAGGAAGGTATCTAGTCTTTTAGTATTTGCCATCACCAATAAAGCTTCAAGTAAAGGAAGTCAAGGTCCTATCTGTACTTTTGTTCGATAAGGAAATATTCACCCATACACTAGAATATAGAGTCAAAAACGCATAGGCCAACTATGTTTCTTTTCTAAAGTTGTGAATTTCATTTATTATATATAGAAAATGTAGTACATTATTTGTCTTACAAGTGCTATAATTCTAAAAGTATTCTTATGGTCTTAATTTTCCAAGTGAAAAATATGTATGTATATATATATACATATATATATCTTTGTTTCTATATTATATTGTCACCATATATTTAAAAATATTTATACCTGTGTATATTATTCAAGGGTCCTTAACAACTGTGGATTTTCCAATTATGCTAAATTTACAGATCAGAGCTAGCTCAGGGACCTAGGCCTTTCATGAACTTAAGCTTCAAGACTAAACATGAAATTGAAAAGCACGTAGTGATTAGCTTAAGACTACTCGTGACAACATCGTGGACTTGCATGTTGCTTATGATGTGCTTCTGAATGTGTTGGCTTCCTTCTATCAGTTTCAGAAAGTTTTATGCTGACTTACTTCATCACTTGGAATTAATTGTTGTGTCCTTGTAGGACAAAGACTCTTCTTTAAGAAAGTACGGTGTTATGTGTTCTGCTGTGGGAAACGGTGTGTGTGTTCCAACATTTTTTTGTTTTGTGAACAATAAAGCTTCAAACTGAAAGATCTGGCTTTTTAGCTTTCTTTTTCTTCTAAATTGTTTCATTCTTAGTGTAACTTGACCCTAAACCACTTTCCCAGAAGAATTTCATTTTAATCCAGTGACACCCAACAGGTACCACTCTAATTTTTTGAGATGATTATAAGTAATGCACACTTAGACATTTTCCATTTTAATAATAAATTTAATATGTATTGGAGAAAATACAACTAGCTCATCAAATTCATGATGTCAATGATGTTAATGAGCTCACTTAATGTTGATATTAAATAAGATAAAAACCATGAGGGTTGAACAAGTGGCTGAAGTTTGAGTAACGCTGAAGTAATTGTTTCAAAGGTCTCTAAGCGTCCCTTTTTGAACAATAGCCAAGTAAACTCAAATATTTGTGTATTATTATAAAGCAGATTGCTCTATTACCTTTGTAATTCCATCTCCAACTTACTAGAATAGGCAGGGCAAAAATACATGAACTATAAAGTTTAGCTCTGTGTAGAAGTGGGTTTGGCTAGTCTCTGGGGCCACTGTTCTAGAAAACAGACTCCATTTGATAAAATTCCTTTTGGTATGTAAAAGGAAATGCTTGCTTAAATGAATCTCAAGCTGTGCTCGAACGACCTCATTCTTTCACACTTGGAGAACATGGGAAAAATAAAATTAAAAATACATTGGAAACACTGTAGCATTCAGTGAAGAAGAAAGGATTCCTTCAATTCCTTTCAAAGCATTTTTTCCTATATTGTGACATGTAGCACCTCCACCTTTGTAAATTTTCTTCAATTCCCCAAGGTAATTAGTTTAGTGGGATTTTACCCAATTAGCATATTCCTCTTTCCCAGATCTCCTGAAAATGCTATAAAAACCAACAAAGACTCGTTTTTGCTCATCATGATCAGTAAAGTACAGTGACTAGCTCAATATCTGGCACATAGTGTACCATCCAGAAATATCTGTTAATGGTTGTAAATGAAGGTGTTTATTAAAGAATTAAACTTAATAAACAGGATGCATCCTATACCACAGATAATAACTACTAAGAGTATAGATTGCATGGAGATACTAAAAGTCTCAAGTGTTCTCGGTCTCAAACACCATCCACTTATTCATAACCTTAAAATATGTTCAGCTTAATGATTCAATACAGTTTCCTCTGACATGATAATCCACTAAATGTGATCACTCCATTCACTCCACAAAACTGCCAACTCTGCTATTTGTTATAAAAGGTGAGATAATGTAGATAAGTCCATGCAAATAAACCAGTGGTAGCAGCCGCTTGTGAAGCCTTGTGTCACATCTCCTCTTTGGAGCCCATGATTTCAGCACGGCTGTGGTAGACAGTTCCACACACATTGCCACTCTCCCATTTCCAGCAAACCAAGGTGACTCTGCTTTTTAGCTTTCTCCAAAGCTATGGAAAGCCACTCACCTTCAGCATAGGTAGCCAAAGATTTCAAAGGATTGAAATCCCCTGAGGACAACACTGAAACAGCAAGGGATGAAAACAGATGGACAATGCTCCTTCCTCTCATTTTCTAGTGAAACATTTCTGAGGCATCTTTAAAGTGGTTGTTTAAAAGGTCTTCAACATGATTGAGCCCCCACTCTCCATATTAGTAACAAGATCAAAAACACAGCCTTCATTGTCTTTTTTTCCTTCCTTGTCACACTCTCCCTACCTGCTCACTTCTGCTTCCTGAGGTCACCTCCAAAATGTAACATTTGCACCCAAATCCCTGTTTGAGGCTCTGCTTTAGGGTTCCATCAGTGCTACAGTTTTTTAAGTGGATGTCTAATGAGTAGTGGATCAGAAATGTCATCATCATAAAGTGACACTGAGAATAGATCTCATTATATTTCCAACCAAAGATTGCCCTCTAAAATCTTGAAGAGCTGACATTGCCTATGTATATCAGTCATTACACTTCAAATGTAGCACAAATTTTATGAATCACAGGGAAAAAAGTTGTTTTTCTATACTGTTGAACCATAAAGGATCTTGTCATTTTAATTTATCTTTGTTCCCTTCAATCTCTCTTATGTAATTTATAGTATTTGGCTCAGCATATAATCATTGCATCTGTAAAATGGAGAAAGAAACATCTAATTCACACATTAACTGTGACAATTAAATTAAATTACGCATAAAAGTAGTTATAAGATATATGGTCCATGGTATGCACTCAAAATTTCCTAACTATTACTAATCAGACACAAGACAAGGAATTGTAAACATATCAAGTCACAAATATTCACTGAGAAATGCTGTGTACAAGACACTTTCCTAGGTTGCTGGGATAAGACAGAAGACAACAAGAATTGCCCTCAAGAACCTTACTATCTGGCTGAAGATACAAAATGCAAACATTTAAAATTTAGGTAACTGTACATGACTTAACTAGCAGTTCAAGATGCCAAGAGAATAAAAAAGGATGTACATGGTGAATTCCTCAATTATTAACACAGACAACAATTGCCAGGAAAGTTCAGAAAAGAGAGAAATTACTGCAGGCTATGCTAGCAAGAGGAGACCTTGAAGAAACCATGGGATATGAGCTGAATGGTAGTAAGATATGAAAGAGCAGAGAAGGTGTGGGGTAGAGTAGACAGAAAGGGGGGCATTTTAAAAATGCCTCAGCAAATGAGAAGGAATAAGTTGATGTGGAGATGGAGGAGTGTGATAGAAACTATGGAAAATTAGCTTGTTTACAATAGAATATCAGAGCAGAATAGCAGTCTAAAGGTGGGTAGGGCTCATTCCAAGGGAATTGAGTTGGGCTCTGTTTTACTTTCAAAGTAATAAATTTTTCCTGAAAATGTCAAGCATGAAAGATAACACTGCCATTATGGATTGAACGTTTGTGTCCCCTTGAAATTCGCTTGTTGAAATCCTAACCCCCAAAGTGGGCCTGTGGGAGGTTATTAGGTCATAAGAGCAGAGCCCTCATAAATGGGATTAGTCCCCTTGTAAAAACAGACCCCAGAAGCTCCCTTGCTTTTTCTGTCATGTGAGGACACAGCAAGAAGACTGTCCCGTATACACCAGACACTGAATCTGTTGGCACCTTGATCTTGGACTTTCCTGACTCTAGAACTGTATGAAATAAATTTCTTTTTTATAAGCCACCCAATTTTGCTATAGCACCCAAACAGACTAAGACAAATACCATTTTGCTTAGCTTGTTTCTGTTTTATAATAAATGAAATGTAAGTCAAATGGTAGTAGTATCTTTGCTTCTGTCTGTAAATCTAAATTATTCCAAAATAGTAGGTTTACTAAAAAAAATAATAAATGTTGGTATTGAAAGTCCAGGAGGAAAGCAGTTTTATCTAGTACGTTTCCCCTATAAACCCCAGAATTATTTTGACATTAAGATAGTTTTTTTAAAAAAATTACTCAGATGGCAAAATTAGGCAAACTTTCATACAAAAATCTCTAGCAAAGTTCATGACTGTCAAATTATAATTCAAGAATAGTAGGGATTTTTCACAAGGAGCTTTTTAAATATCTCTCACTTCAGTCAGTTAGCTTCATATTTTGTTGTATAGCAGCATAAGACAGAAAGGCTGGAATTTAACTCCAAATAAACACACATACACACACACAAACACACTCCCAGATTACAGAATTTGCAGAAGTATGAAATAATAGGAAGCCCAGAGTGACCACAGACATCTTTCTCTCTTCACTTCATCTGCATAACTATTCATCAGCTAAAATATACTATGCATCCACTGTATGACTTCGGTTGTTCTCAGGTATCATAAAATGGACCCTAGTTGACTCCAAGGAGTTTTCAATGACTCTGCCTTTGCCAAGTTACCCTCAGAAAAACTCCAGCATTCATGATTAAAATGGTGTTTCAACTCCCCCCACACACTCTAGACCTTGAATATCACAAGTCTTGTGTCTGCGGCTATTATGGCAGGTGACATGGTTGTGGCAACTTCCAAAGTCTAGGAAAGAATAACTTAGGCTAAAGAAAGAAGTCCCTAAAAAGTAGGTGACAATAGCAACAATTAGAGTATTTGTTTGTTTGCTTATCTTCTTAGTCCTGTTAGCTATGATTGGACAGAAGTGCTCAGAAATATCTTGAGACGTTATCCTAACCATCAAATGAAGGGAAGCAACAAGAATAAAAAAAAAAAGGATTAATGAAATAACTCTTCTAAATAGCATATTCTGTGTTAGATTTATTGGAGAAAACATTCTTTCAGAGTTTAGCATTCAATTTTTAATATGAGCACTGTTATTTGATTCACAGTCAGTCATTTTCTCTGGGAAGAATGTAACTAGCTACCAGAAGAATTGGAGACTGCTGAAAGAATCAGCGCCCTTGCTCGGAACATTGAACACACTCTTCTTAATGCCAAGATGCAAAGGATGTGGAAACACTGATTTCTACGGCCATATGAAAACTACATTTTCCACTCGAGTATTTGCTAAGTTTACCCACATCAGATATTGTTCATCTAGGCTATCCCTCATACTGTACCTCTGCTTGCTGATCAAAAATAGCAATGGACATGACTAGTATGAATTACTCTCCTGTAATTTCTTATGTCAGTTACATTTGTTTGGAATTTTTATAAAAATTAATATTACCATGTCTTATGACTAGCATGATATAGTCAAATAGAGTGACACTTAGAAGACCCAGAGGGATTGGGACCCAGCATTAAAACCGCTCCCTGTGTATAGCAAGCTCTGAGAAGGAAGCTGAGGTGAGAGTCCATCTATCTATGGAATCAGAGAGGGAATCCAGTCCATTAGGAAAAACGGCATCCACATAATTCAATTTAAGGCAACCAATGGGTAGCAAGCATCTACAATGTGCCAACACTACGACTGGTAGCATACAACATACCCTACATAGACTAGATGTTGGGAAGTCCAATGTAGGAATTGTTTATTGACTTAAAAGGCAAGTAGAGCACCTGAAAGAAATTAGTGATATTCAGAGACCTAACTAGGCAGATATCAATGTAAAGGG